CATAATCATCTAAAGCAACATTGCGGTGCTGTAGTATTTCTGCTCACTGTCAAATTTTGACTCACACTATAAAACTATTTGTCATTGTCTACTGTAATTCACATACCTATTTGTTTGCTCGTTCATATATTTGGCTTTCGTAGCGTGAAGGTACTAGGCTTGATCCTAGGTTGGGGGGTTGTTAAAGCTAGGCTCCTAGTTGTACAGTAATCCCATATATGGAGTCAAAATTATCTCTTTTCCTTATTACTGTTTTATTTGTTTAGTTTAAACTGCTAGTTTTCAGCAGGTACTATGAGCTTGTATTCTGTTTCACCGCGTCGTCATTTCTCTGAAATTCACCTCATTTGGCGTATTAACATTTCACTTAATCTGGAGTAATTATTTCCTTATGGTTAAGCGATACATGTCGTACAACCTTCTGCATGTTTCACTGTTTGCTAGAATCTGTTTATTCTTTATCTGGAAACTCGGACATTGTTTGTTTCTGACTGTGGATCATGTTGAACACAGCTTTGCAAATTCGCCTTTGTTCACGTACAGTGATGGCGCATTTGACGGCATACAGCTTAGACACCTCACAATCTCAGGTTTTTGTATCCTATTCATTATATTTATGCGTCATAACACGACAGCATCTTCGGATAAATCTTGTCTTCTGGTTTGCACGCGTAACTTACGATGAATATATGAATCGTGACGGAATTTGAAAAATAGGTCTCCGGACTTCATATAGTTTTCCTACTGAGGTTCCAGAGGGAGAATAGTATCACTGAAATGCATGAGGGTGTAATGGATGTGGGAGACCACAGAAGGTGACTGCATCTGTACCATTGAGAGCGATTTTCAGCCATATCACCCATAGTCTCGACGACCCCAGCCAAGCAGTCTACACTGCATTTTACGGAAAACTCTGGCTTGGCATCCACAACATGTAACCAGATAATATGGGCTATGAGCTATCAAAAAATGGAGTGGGCTCCTGTTTGTGACAAGAATATTTGTCTATTTATCCCATAAACAGTTCAGAATAACAGTTTAACTGGTTGCATTTGTATTGCACCTTCCAATGTTTTAGGTGTTTTATTGTAACGTGTACACATACGAACAGGCTGGAACGCTATTTTAGCGTTCCTTCCTTCTTCAGTGAATACACACATTCTCCTAGTTTGCATTTCAGTCGTACTTGTTAGATAAGTCCTAAGTCTCTTAACCCTGAGTAATCTTGACTCCAATTCCACTTAAATATACTTCTGATTAGAGCACATTTCCAATCAACTGAATCTTTTCAATTTGCGTTTTATCGGCAGTATCTACAAGTTAGGTAGATTACTGATCTACTGGGTAACCAGACAAATCACGTTTATTAAGGACTGGTACAGTATAACTGATCAATAGCCCTACCAGTAACATATGCATTTTACTTTTACCTTGATTTAAAACCTTCAGTAATTCTTAAATCAACACTTGACGAACTCCACATATATACAGGGAGTGCATACGATTCAGTGAAGCACATACACTTTTCATTTCACTACGAAGTCTCCATGGCAAATCTATTACTAAAAGCGTCTACACAGTTTCTTCACAACCTCACTCACACATTTCAGTGAACTGAACTGCAAGAACATTTGCTCTTCCCCACAGTACTCAATATAGAGAATCTTGTGAAGTGACTCCTATGTGCTGTTAACCTTGTCATACTGAAGACGGGAGCAGGGCGTTCGTAGTCTTTTATTTTACATAAAGTTGCAGTGCGACTTCCTGCACAATAGTGTTTGTGCGAACAAAGCGCTAAATAAAGTCTTCCATACCTCCTAAACAACTCACCCTTATCCCGATTACGACAATAACCTCCTTTCATCTATGAGTCTAATTTATGTTTATGAAATCGGAATCTCATAGCAGTCAAATCTTCCGCAGAAATAAACGCCGTTTGAAACACAACTTCACCATAATGTTACATGCAGTGCTCACAGTGCTAATGCTTTGTGTCCTCAAATGAAAGGCAGACTGTGCTGGGTATGCACAGTGTAGCTTACCAACAGCACTCCCAGTACCTTTTACATTATTCCCAGCTTATGTTACTCTTGTGGTGAGAGCTGGCTGTTAGCCAAAGTTGGTAGACAGTAATTGACGTCAATGTTTATGTCCCCAATATTGGTGGTGAGAAAATGAGAAGAAAGGCTTTGCGTAGCCGGATACAGTTAGCATATGGATGATCTGACACAGCCACAAAGAGATGCAAGGTTAACTTTCTGTGAGAAACAACCAATCAAAAGACTGTATTTTTTACTAACAATAATCTACAATAATGTACATTAAAATCTATAAATATATGTTGATTTTCCCTAATAAATGATCTGTTGCCTGGCCCTTGCCTTCTGTTGTTACTCTCTTAGTTCCTTTCAATAACTGATTGTGAACATGTTGAAAGTATGTCGAAACCTCTTAGTAATTCACATATTTTTCGTATTGCTTATGTTTTAAGCGGCTGAAACAAATTGGAGAAATAATGAAGATAATCTGGTATTATTTTAGTACATTTATTGTTCGTGCCTTATTTGAGCTTTCAAACTACTATTTGTGGCACCTGAGCTACACACGACCAATACTCTAACCTGCTCACTCTTTCACTGAGGCTATCACAGGTAATGCTTAGCTGTCTTGTGCATGAATGATACGTAAACGTCTGGATATAGTTCTGGAGTTCATTCACAACTCAGCTGGGTGATATTGGTGCGACTGTGTTCTACAAGATAAACTGCAGCAGCTGTGCGAAAAACCTTATATTGGTTGAAGTCGACAACCGCTTCGTCTTCGCATTAAGGAACATAAACTGGCTGTCACTAGACATGATATATACATCCCCTTTTACCAATGTATGCAGACAACCAACGACACCAATTCAATTGGGAAAATGAAGAAATCCTACACAAAGAAAACACTAAAAATCTCAATGAATTACAATCATACATTGTAAAAGGAGTGCCAAGAAAGGACATTGCACTAATCAAGGCACTCTACTCAAACTCACGTAGCCGTGTAAGGGCTTATGGGGAATTGTCATCTGAATTGATAACAACCAGTGGTGTCCGTCAAGGATGTCCACTTTCCCCTTTTCTGTTTAATTTCATCATATATATGCTAATGGAAGTATCCTTAACTGAACTTAACGACTTAGGAATCGACTTGTTACCAGGGAATAGTCTTATGAACTTAGAATATGCAGATGACATAGTCCTGTTAGGGGAGGATGCTGACAAAATGCAGAGTCTTCTGAACACCTTGAACAGCAATCTTCGTATGTTTGGCATGCGATTCGCCCCTGTAAAATGTAAGATGCTGCTACAGGAGTGGACTACGTCAACTCCTAGCTTGATGATAGGGAGTGAAGTGATAGACCATGTTGACCACTTCACCTATTTGGGAAGTTGTATCACCACCAACGGACTGATTGGCGACGAAATCTCAGCACGGACCCAGAAAGCTCAAGCTGCTTTCGCTAACTTACGCCATCTCTGGGGTAGGCGTGACATCCGACTATCAACCAAGGGATGTGTGTACTGCTCATCAGTTCGCTCCATCCTTCTCTATGGCTCTGAAACATGGCCAATACGAGTTGAAGACATGAAAAGGTTGACTGTTTTTGATCATAGATGTCTACGATCTCTTTCTCACGTTAGGTGGCATAATAAGGTAAGTAATGTTGACTTTAGGCGTAGGAGAGGGAAAATTAATCGAAGAGGCTATAAAGTTGCATAGATTGAGATGGCTAGGTCACGTGCTGCGCATGCCTAACCATCGCCTCCCCCGACGGACGGGCATTACTAGCTGATATAGGTGCAGGTTGGAAAAGAGTAAGTGGTGGCCAAACAAAAACATGGCCTCATCAATCCATGAAATCCTTGACAGTTAAACTGAGATGTATTCAGTTTCTCTGTAATCTTTCATATTTCTTTCTACCATTACTCATTCATTCTGTTTCACTCTTATACTTGTCAAAACTCTATTGATTCTCTTCACTCATTTTCTTGTCTACCTTTGTGTGCTCTTTGGAACGTGGCAACTGGAACTGCTGCACTTCGGTGACAAGTTCTATGTTGAATCCAGCCAGCCAGCCAGCCAATGAATTACTGGACTGATCTGCAATCAACAGACACACTAAAACACAGATGACATTTGAGAATCAATAAAATGTAAGTCACACGATTAGAAATGGACTAAATGATGAGAAAATTTTTTCAGAAACAAGGAATCACATTCAAGGTGACAAGGAGAGATGGCTGATAGACTCGAGCAGAATGCTAAAAGCCCACTTCAAACTGAAGAAGTATGCGCTGAAGAGGCTGTTTAGAAAGACAATGAAACCTTTACAATTAAACCACTGCTATCAGTTATTTCTCTCTCCTAAACTCACTGGGTTGGGTTGCTGGCCTCACGCCGAAACTTTCCAGACAGTGAAACCTTCATGTAGATTCTGTACATAAAGTGTAAAAAGATAACTTATAATAGAAATCGGCTTATGATTTGACTTCTCAAATGTATACAGTTCAGTCTGTAAACAGTATCAAAGGAAACGAGACAAAAATTTGTATTTATAGTCATAAAAGTCGTGTTTTGCCTTAACATTCTATCTATCTGGCAGTAATGTGCAGTTTTGGCGGCTACAATTGAAGCCTTCTCGACTCTTCTCTCTTCGCGATGCCCGCACATGACGCAAAATAAAACACGGCTCTGACTAGATAGAATGGAAGTTGACAGAATTATGATGAACATCTACACGGTGACCTCGACCAGAACCAGTTAGTTGCAATAAAGTCAGTCTGGCGAAAATAATGACACAGTGAAAGTTAGTTCAATCTAAACACAAAGTGTATCGAACGGCGAACTCTTCAATGCTTTTATCGTTTCCGGCATTAATCTCTATAGTAAACTGTGACCAAGCGCCACATAGTGCATGCTTATTACATCTATAAAGTTCAATACTTACAAAATATGTTAGAATTTTATTATATACAAATCTTTTGTTGACAACTTTTTGTTTTAACTAGCGTCTTGAGACGCAAACAGTAATACACACAACACAATATTTAGGCAACAGGGTCAAGAGGTCGATTAAAACCTCCCCGCCGGTTCATATATTGACGGTACTTCCGCTGTTTTGCTATATTGGCCACATAAATACTGTTCCCAATCACATGCTTCCCTTTAGTTGTACCGAAACTGCAGAACCCCATCGTGCGCAACATCTCAGCTTCTTCCTCTGTTTCAGGTTCTACTGGTGTTTCTGAAAAATAAAGTGGTCATATGACGAAAATTGATTACCTTCCACATGCTCCAGTACCTCTTTCTCAGTCTTATTTACAGGACTACGAGAACGTGAACGCCGTTTCCACCTTTCTTCACTATGGTTGCGTTCTTGTCTCCTTCGGCTATCGCGATCTCTCTTCTCTCTATCATGTCGATGCCTGTCTTTGTCCACGTCTCTTTCATCGTAGTCATGACCGTAGTCGCGATCTCTGCGATCTCCATGTCTCCGTGAACGCGCATATATGTCACCGCGATCTCTGTGTCGGTCACGTGACCTTGAGCGGGCGCGTTTCTCGTGGTCTGTAAAAGTAAGGGACGTTAGGAAATGTGGTATATTATCAACAGAATGTTGCGGTAGTGCATTCGCATACCAGTTTGAAAGTAATAAGGAGTTTCAGGATACAATCTCTTACCGGTAAATTGAAATAATAAATTAAGATGGAGATTTTTAGTAAGCCCGTTAGATCACGTAAGCTTGTAGTGAAGTATGTCCCAGTCCAGCAGAGTACACGGCTCGAACTAGCTGCCAGCCTCTTCGTTACCTGATGTATTGTCTTCGGTTCGCCAACTTTTTCTCATTTACTTTATATTTCACACTCCTCGGATAAACCAAGTTGAGTAGGTACTTGTTGTAACACATCCTTCAATTACATCAGACAATGGAAGGCTTATGACTACTGTTGTTTAGGAATAAGTTTGGCGTTGCCAATGTGGTATTTCCAGGCCATTATCTATTTGACATTTTCAACAGTTCTAATCAACTCATCGAACTGGAGATGCAAGTCATCCTACTCTACTTTACAAACTAAAACTGATATAACTTCAAGTGCGAAATCACACTACACTCAGAAGTTATTCGATAATCTTCACCAACGATAAGTTAACGAGAAATCTGATTTAAGAGCCATATAAATCTAAAAGGCAATTGAATCCCGTAAGTTTTAGATGCGGTAAATACTGGTGATTAGGGTCTTAACCTTTCGGTGAAGGAGGCTTTTATAACTCCTTCAACAAAAGGTGCAGACAATGTAAGTTGTAAAACATAGTGAATGACGCTTTATAGAACCAGATATTCCATCTCGCGAACTCATATAGCCAGCGCTGTTTGCAGAGCCGGTGCTTGAATGTGATGTTCATTTTCTAGAAGAAGGGTCCTTAATCAACAAACTGAGTTCTCACATGTGACTGAGCACAGCGGTTCAACTTGCCACACTCCATGTAGCACACAAAGTCAGACGACAGCGAGGAAATAAGGAGGTCCAAGGGACTAAAATTAACGGAAATGAACAGAAAAAGAATAGGAAACATTTATTTCCCGATACGAATTTAAAACAAGCAATAAAGATTAATAAAGCAGGATTTAATAAATTCATCAAATTTCGGTAGAACTCGTCAGCTGAATACTCTACATACACGGATATACATACTTTTGAAATTACATTGGGAGATATAGGACTGATAAGTAAACAAACTACATTGAATTAGTCATGCAGAAAGACAGGTGCTAATGTTTTTCCATGTCATGTTCAAATAGATAAGGGGAGAGAGAGTATGAGAGATCAAAATTAAGATAGATTGCATTACCCTTCAATTACATCACTTAGATAAACAATTAGACATTAGAGAATATAACAAGAATTGCAACCAGAGTGATGTCAATAGAAATAGTCATAATAACAATAATAATAATAGTGTTGAAGTGAGTTAAGATAATCCTACTGATAAAGGATAGTTTTGAATGAATCAAGAATAATAATTATAAAAATAATAATAAGAGGTAGAATTATAAGTATTCATTTTCAAAGCTGTACAATCGCAAATATATATGGTTACTTTGTGTGTGTGTGTGTGTGTATTTACATTAAATTTGTCAAACGAAAATACGGTTAGTAAGTTCAAATGAATTGGATGTTGATAAGAGGATAGCAACAAAAGTGATGAGTTGTCAAAATCGATTGTTAAAGAGGAGTAAGTTCAGGTGAATTGGATGTTCATATAAGAGGATAGTAACAAATGTGATGAGTTGTCATAAATGATTGTTAAATAAGAGTTACGCAATGGCATGAATAGTTTGATGAATGAGGTGTACTCAAAGGGTGTACATGGAAACAAAATAATATACAGAATTACACAAGGGTTTTAAGTTAGAAAAATAAGTATACAAACAGAGGTAAGGTCAAATCAAACAAACAAAGAAGAGTTGGGTCAAATCAACGGAGTTGTTACCATGCGAGTAGAAGTGGTTGGATGATTTTCTTTTGTATGCATAGTTCTGGTTCCACCAACTGGATGGCTAGGGCTTCTGCGATGCAAAGAAGACGGAATCGTACTGTCTTTGGGAGGTTGTTCTTCACTTTGTAGATCACTTTGAAGGAGGCGTTCGTTGAGATGGGATGACCAGTGTTGACGAGATGTTCGATTATTGCACTCCTTATATGGCCATTATTTCCTTTCTGTAGCCACGTTGGGTAGTGTTCTTTGACCCTTTTTGACAGGATGCGCGTTGAACGACCGATGTACCTGGCTCCACAGCAACAGGTGAACTGATATATACACATAGAAGTGGGGTCATGTGCGGAATCTTGTCCTTTGGGTTTCTGCAGATCAGCGGGCGACTGGAGAACACTATTCTTAGTGTTGCCGCAGGGAAAGTTCTTCCTAAAGAGGTGGAAATTCTCCTTCTGAGGACGTCACTAAGTAGGTCTCCTTTGAAGTCTAGGTTCATATAAAGTATCTTTTTTGGCACGGATGGTGTCTCTTGCTTTTGGTTTTTCTGTTTGATGTTTTTGTCTACAAATCTTGGTGGGTAGCCATTTTGTATGAAGATTTCCCTCAGGAAGTTTAGTTCTTCTTCCATGGTGTCGGAGCTGCAGATGCGTCTGACGCGAGTGGCAAGGGATTTAATTAGGTTTCTTTTCCGACTGATTGGTACCCAGCTGTAAAAACTTGTTAATTGTCCGTTCCAAGTCGGTTTCCTATGGATTGACCTTCTTAAAGTTCCGTCATCTCTCCTTGTAAGCTCAACGTCAAGAAAAGGGATTTTAGATTCATTTTCAGTTTCCAAAGTGAACTTTGTGGCTGGATGGCATTTGTTGAATATTTGCAGTAGTTGATTGAGATCGTGACCGTCATCACAGATGATAAAGATGTCGTCAACATATCTAACGTACAACTGGAAGTTGCCGATGGTTGATTTGAGTAGGCCGTTCTCGAAGCTTGCTATGAAGCAGTCTGCTAGTAATGGGCCCAGTGGAGATCCCATTGCGATCCCATCTTGTTGTCTGTAAATAATGTCGTTGAATGTGAATTGCACATTGAGTGTACATCTCAGTAGTAGTTCTTTTAAACAGGTCATCGGTAATCCGATGTTCAGACTGCTTCATGGCAAGCCTCGACAACGGCCTACTCAAATCAACCATCGACAACTTCCAGTTGTACGTTAGATATGTTGACGACATCTTTATCATCTGTGATGACGGTCACGATCTCAATCAACTACTGCAAATATTCAACAAATGCCATCCAGCCACAAAGTTCACTTTGGAAACTGAAAATGAATCTAAAATCCCTTTTCTTGACGTTGAGCTTACAAGGAGAGATGACGGAACTTTAAGAAGGTCAATCCATAGGAAACCGACTTGGAACGGACAATTAACAAGTTTTTACAGCTGGGTACCAATCAGTCGGAAAAGAAACCTAATTAAATCCCTTGCCACTCGCGTCAGACGCATCTGCAGCTCCGACACCATGGAAGAAGAACTAAACTTCCTGAGGGAAATCTTCATACAAAATGGCTACCCACCAAGATTTGTAGACAAAAACATCAAACAGAAAAACCAAAAGCAAGAGACACCATCCGTGCCAAAAAAGATACTTTATATGAACCTAGACTTCAAAGGAGACCTACTTAGTGACGTCCTCAGAAGGAGAATTTCCACCTCTTTAGGAAGAACTTTCCCTGCGGCAACACTAAGAATAGTGTTCTCCAGTCGCCCGCTGATCTGCAGAAACCCAAAGGACAAGATTCCGCACATGACCCCACTTCTATGTGTATATATCAGTTCACCTGTTGCTATGGAGCCAGGTACATCGGTCGTTCAACGCGCATCCTGTCAAAAAGGGTCAAAGAACACTACCCAACGTGGCTACAGAAAGGAAATAATGGCCATATAAGGAGTGCAATAATCGAACATCTCGTCAACACTGGTCATCCCATCTCAACGAACGCCTCCTTCAAAGTGATCTACAAAGTGAAGAACAACCTCCCAAAGACAGTACGATTCCGTCTTCTTTGCATCGCAGAAGCCCTAGCCATCCAGTTGGTGGAACCAGAACTATGCATACAAAAGAAAATCATCCAACCACTTCTACTCGCATGGTAACAACTCCGTTGATTTGACCCAACTCTTCTTTGTTTGTTTGATTTGACCTTACCTCTGTTTGTATACTTATTTTTCTAACTTAAAACCCTTGTGTAATTCTGTATATTATTTTGTTTCCATGTACACCCTTTGAGTACACCTCATTCATCAAACTATTCATGCCATTGCGTAACTCTTATTTAACAATCATTTATGACAACTCATCACATTTGTTACTATCCTCTTATATGAACATCCAATTCACCTGAACTTACTCCTCTTTAACAATCGATTTTGACAACTCATCACTTTTGTTGCTATCCTCTTATCAACATCCAATTCATTTGAACTTACTAACCGTATTTTCGTTTGACAAATTTAATGTAAATAAAACACACACACACACACACAAAGTAACCATATATATTTGCGATTGTACAGCTTTGAAAATGAATACTTATAATTCTACCTCTTATTATTATTTTTATAATTATTATTCTTGATTCATTCAAAACTATCCTTTATCAGTAGGATTATCTTAACTCACTTCAACACTATTATTATTATTGTTATTATGACTATTTCTATTGACATCACTCTGGTTGCAATTCTTGTTATATTCTCTAATGTCTAATTGTTTATCTAAGTGATGTAATTGAAGGGTAATGCAATCTATCTTAATTTTGATCTCTCATACTCTCTCTCCCCTTATCTATTTGAACATGACATGGAAAAACATTAGCACCTGTCTTTCTGCATGACTAATTCAATGTAGTTTGTTTACTTATCAGTCCTATATCTCCCAATGTAATTTCAAAAGTATATATATCCGTGTATGTAGAGTATTCAGCTGACGAGTTCTACCGAAATTTGATGAATTTATTAAATCCTGCTTTATTAATCTTTATTGCTTGTTTTAAAAATAGAATAGTAGCACGGCTCAGTGGATATGGGAAAGCACAAAGAGTGAATGCATCTGTGTTACTGAGAACGACCACGAACCATACCAAAAATAGTCTTGGTTTCTTAGTATCCCAAGGATCTCAACCAGGTGGCTTGTATTTCCTTCCCTAAGTGGCTAGCTCAAAACAACTGTCAACGACTTCATGGACTGCTCCTAACTTCTTACCATCCCAATCCTATGCCGGCTAACATCGCTCGTCTAGCAAGGCGACCGATAGCTAGGTATGACGTCTTCGCTAGAAATGGTATGGGTTGACAAACGCCACACCAGCCTCTGATGTCTGGGCTAATGCAACTCCCTAACTTCAAGCTGGAAATAGGTGCAGCTAAGTCTTACAGCACCACCTTAGATGTGATAGAAGTTAACCACATGACAGACATACTAAGATTTATGTTCAAGATATTTAGAGGAGTTTGAACTTTGTCCACATCTCCACCTAGAAGCACTGTATTATGTGCATGTTGTCTGTCTGTTTTCGACATAGAACTTTGCACATATGTGCACCAGTTCAAGTCGACACACTCCCTCCTTGTAGCACACAAGGTAAGAGAAGAAAGTAGCAGAAATGCATATTAGAGACAGTAAACAGAGGTGTGACACAAAGGAATAGTAATAACGAAGAACAAAACAGTTTCATTGGAAAACATAAGTCACAAAACATAAGGAGTGGATGCATCTGCGCCAGCCATTGAGAACGATTTTTAGCCATGTCACCAATTGTTTCCAACCATTGGTTTTTGCCGTCCCGAGGACCCCAACCAGGAAGTCTACACCTTCCTACGTGGCTTAGACTAACTGTTGTAGATTTTATTGACTGGTGAAGCCATGTTTTGGTTTCACCGCCGCTAGCTCTTTTCCAGTCTGACCCTATATCAGCTAACATTACCCGTCGAGGATGGCGATGACTAGGCATACGTAACACATGTCCTAAATATCTCAGTCGATGTAATTTCACAGTCTCGTCGATTGATTTCCCCTCCTTACCTAGCACTCGACGCCTAACCTCAGTATTGCTCACCTTATTATACCACTTCACACGGGAGATAGAACGCAGGCACCTATGATCGAAGACAGCTAATCTTTTCATGTCTTGCACTCTCAATGGCCAGGTCTCACAGCCATAAAAACTTTCATACTACATGTCGTACATCACTGACACTTCTTCCCGGTAATTAATATATCCCTGTGACGTAGAATTCGCCAAGCGTCACCTCCCGTAGTACCCTTGTAGTGACATTTAACAAAAAGTGGGTACATTCATTCGGGATACCACTAGTAGTTATCACTTCATCAAATGGAAAATTCCCATAAGTTCCTACATGGCTGCGTGACCTCTAGTAGTGCCCTCATTAGTACGATATACGTCCACGACCAAACATTGCGATGGCACCTCTTGTGCGACGGTGTCGAATGCCGTTTGCAGGTCAAGAAATATGGCAAATGTTGGGTGTTGGTAAGTATGGGTGTGTTCTAGGATCCATCGAAGGATGAAGATATGACCTACCTGGCCTATACTCACCTTTAAATTACCAGACGAGATTTAGGTGTGAGAAATTTCTGTGTAACTAATGAAAGAGGAAGTTCGTTCTCTCTCGATTGCGAACCTCTCAGAAGTGATGCTAAGTAACCCAGATGTGTCAAAGGTTGACTCGCAGCGATGTTTCAACTGTAAATAGTGCAATCGCCCTAAAATTATTCAATACATAAGATGTTTGATGTTAGCGAATATGCTGAGTTATTAGAGAGAGAGAAAATAGTGTTGATTTAAAAATCCGCACAAGATGAGTAGGTTCGAATCATAACATAATCTACATAAGGTCAACAAATCAGGTTAGAAAAGGCTTCAAAATCTAGGTGAGAAAGGTAATAATCACAATAGAAGAACAAATCTAACTTCTACTTAGATAACTTCGAACTACATCTCAAGTAATGTCGTCAGTGTGTACTGGTAAAGTACACAATTTACACCATTGACGCCCAATATGTCGACTTGTGGCATTCTTACCATCATCATAAAGTTTGCATATATGTATCAAACAATGAGATGTTCAGCTATCAATGGAAGGACATGTGCACTGTGCAGCAATTCGTTGTCCTTTCTTATGAATGAGATGCAACCGTTTAAAGCAAGGGATTGAAGAGGTCAGCTGTCTCTAGTCACAGGCTTTGGCGTCCTATCTTCTGTGTTAAGTGGCATAGTATGGTAAATAATGTTGGAGTTAAACATGTTGTCACGTAAAGAGAACAAGTCTATCAATGAGCTTGTGAAGCTGCGTAGACAGAGATGATTAGAGCACGTGTTGCGCATACTGAGCCATCGCCTTTCCCGTTGAGTAATGTCAGCCGACAGAGGACTAACTGGGGAGACAGGTACGGGTGGTAAGACCAAAACCGGGCATCAACTGATGCAACTTCTTACTCTTAGTTTGAAATAGGTACGGAGGTGTTGAGTGTTTGTCTGGGATCCTCGAGACGCTACGAGACGTCAGATTCATACTATCACCAGTGTGAAAGGCGAAAAGAAAACAGGGAGTACATCCAAATTAGTAACGACTCTAAACAATCCTGGTCGGAACTTGTCAAGGAACTGAATTCCCTTCCTTCACAGTGGTTTATACATTTCATTTTGTCAAGTTAATATCTTCCCACTAGTATCTCATTCACACAAACATTTCGTTGAGGTATACCGGAAGTCAGATACATTACTTTCCATTGTTTTAGTTGCTTAGTTTTCTCATACGTAAACAACTTTAGAACCTCACTCACTACGCTAATTGTTAACTATCACAAATCATCAATAGGTGTGAATAAATGATTACAAGTTTTCACTGTTTATGGATATACTGTACGCTGAGTTAACCAATATGGAAGGCTTGCAGCAAAGTGACTTTGTACACAAAACAAATCGGATAGACGTGACGAAAATCGATTCCTTAAGCAACCGGTGAAGCCTATGGACAAACATCATACTTCCAGTGAGTAATTTAACAAACTGTCCTGCATAAGTTTATTAGGAAATCCCACACGCCCTTAAATGCTAACGAGATATTATCTGAGAAATAGCCAGTGGTTAGCAGAACCCCTCTCAGGACTTTGTTATTGACTTCATTTTTCCACATGGTAAAGAACTACCATTCCGGCATTATCTAACGATAATACACTATGGAGGACCACCCATAACAGCGAATTTAGATGAGCGCTTCAGCTCGATTCCGAGGAAATGAGTGTTTAGGTAGTTGAATTTAGGAATCACTTACAACAAAACACGGCGATACAAATCAATCTGGTATTATTCTTATTTAGACAATGGATCAGGTAGCAAATAGGGCTGGTTCATACCAGTCACAGCTCGACAGTTGGAGCACACTGCACTGCGTTTTACACAACCATAAGATAGTGCTTTTGAGATGGCACGACCTGTGTACGTTAGAATGTATACACAAAGATGAGAGAATAGGAATAACAACTCTTTACATTCCATTAGCTGAAAAAATGAAAAGTTCATACCTTATCATTATGTCGCAAAGAAACAGAGGAGCTTACTTTTAATCCTGACCCACAATTAAGTATTTTTAGTCCACACTACAATTCAGAAACCGCTGGTGAATAAACTACACAAATCAGACTCACGCATTGGACAGAACTTAATACTAGAATTAATGGTACCGGTTACCTTATAGAACGTTTACGAAAATGAAAAGCATTTGACAAAACCCAGATAAGCACAATGCATGAATCAGAAAGGATACCAGCCAAATATACTGGACTTAAGCCCAGACAATGAAATGCCGCTAAGAATGCTATGTCGAGCTACTGCCAGGTTGAGTTTTGTCACTGGAGTTTTATACATTGAAGCACTCTACTTTGAACTGAAGACATTAAAATAAAAACACCACCAAAATCAGGAAACATATCGTAGACATGAGTGACTGCCCAGAAATAAGTTCAGTTAATGGCGAAAATTATAGAAACAGATGGAAGAAAAATTTGCATCACTCACCTCTAGGCATTTGTAACACCAAACTCCAAGAGTTATATACAATATCAACAGTCAACCGGAGAAGGGAGAAGATGAAAAGGGGATTGAAGAAATGTGTGGGGTGAGGATATACGCTATGACGTGTTAAATTTTCCGCGCCTCAGGTTTTATCGTCTTTCATTGGAAAAGCGATATAGGCAGATTTTGATTGGCTGTTGGCTAGCTGGCTTCTTATTGGTCTAAAATATAAGTTAAAATGGCAGTCTCTTTATTTTGACACGGAAATTTACAGTCAGTTTAATTTCAGGCTTAACTTACCATAATATAACGGCGTGTTAATTTTTTTGGTGTGAGTGTAGTGTGATAGTCACACGCTATTTGGATGCATTTGTGGTATTTAAAGTACATTGAGATGTATGAGAATGTCTAGCAAGTGAATATAAATTAACAATAATTTTGATGCATTTATTTTAAGCCCAAAATAGGATGTATGCATTTTTGCTTACTAGGCGAATATAATTCAACTACAATTTCTAAACATATAATTTTTCTTTAATTAGAACATATAGATAAATGTATGTATTAACTGATCCACTTTTTTAAGTTGTTAGTTTAGTGACCTGTGGGATTTGTGCATATTAGGTCAGCATAAATCAATTAAATTTACTAGGTCACAACAGTGGTTTATGAGCACTGAAATATATACTATTATTCATCTACTTGAAATTATAATGTTGTGTTCGTTAGTCATTGTTAAAACCATTACATGACGTTACAAGATACTCCTGCAGCCTCTACTACACGAAATGTGTCATCTATATTGTCTGATGTAATGGCTATATTCCAAAGAATAATGCTTAGTTGTGTATTTTATACGTGGGTGCAACTTAAGCAAGCTTTTGATACATTTATGAAGGTAACAACTAAATTGTTCATTATTTCTTTGAAAGGAATCCAACACATCCTAACGGCTTGATTCAGGTAAAAAAGACCCATCTGGCCCTATGGAATATAAGTTTGTGAGGTATGAATGCACTTTTGGAGGTATAGTTTAGTAAGCTTGGGACGCTTAAAATACCAACCTTGCAACAATTCTCAGCAAAGTCTAACCAACGCTTCAATAATGCCTTTTTACGGTAAATGAATATTTTATCTACTTGAAGTGAACCCAGTATGTACTGAAATAACCCTGGTCCTTCTAAAAAGCTACTATATTTGGGTCTCGCCTACTCAGGAACATTCTGCCTCCCCCCTGTACTATAATTATAGGAAATTTTCCCTGGCAGTATACTTACTTTCGAGTACCAAATACAGCCGACTGTTTTTGGATGCTGTTCGGACAGATTGGAGTAATTTCTTACTGCAATATGAGAACTGTTTCGGAGATGAACATATTGTTTACAATATTCATTTTCTGAAACGTACAGTGGATGACGTCGAGCTGCATGGGCTATTAGAGGGATTCAGTGCATTTCCCTTTGAATTCTATATGCGCATGATCAGACAGTTCGTGCACTGTGGATATGTTGTGGCTAAGCAGGCAGCTCAGCGTTATGTTGAGCACGTGCACTTAATGAAAAGTACAGGTGTCAAGCATGTACCTAAAGAAGCTAGTACTAAAGGCGTTAAGTTTAGCAAAGGAAAGTTAACTTATCTGAACGTCATATTTACTTCTTATTCTCCGGACAATGTAATCTTAGCCTCAGGTAAACCGGGGGAATATAGTTGAAATGGAAAGTGAAGATAGGATACGCTTTCGACCCTACTGTGATTTTAGTGATGATTTTAATACACCATTTAAATCAAGGAATTTAGGGATATTCAGATGTTCGAAATTCAGTCACGAGATGTAAGGTTCATTAATGAAGTACTTATTTCTGTAGCGACCAACTGATGACATCGAGAGAGGTTGGTGACATAATGGATTAGGCCACGAAATCGTACATTCATAATTTGAAAGATCGTGTCCAAAGGCGTAACCTGAAGAAAGGAATTCAGGTAATACTGTTAAACGCCCGCTTCGTTTTATAGGTTAACGTTAAGACAACATCTAGTAATCACAACATTGTTTTTATTTCTAGGCAAATGGAAAAGATAGCAGGGGATATAACAGTGGCAGTTATGTAAGCAAACTTTTCTAAATGTAAATGCTGAGAATGTGATGAGCACAATGTTTCATCAACTGATATTTTATTTTGCTTATTTACAGGATGCTACCAGTGGACCTAACTTGACGGATTTGCAGTGACATTGTACTACAGTTTCCAAATATAATTTCCAAATTTCAGCTCAAAAAACTTGCCACTATGTGCTAAATTAAGTCTTTTTCTTCTGAAGTTAAGCTAGTCCGTACTGAAAATGAGCTCAAAGGGTTTAAATAAAGCTGATAAGCAAATCCAGTAGGTTCTCATCTACTCCTGAAAATGTCTACAAAAAGAACATGGTGTTGAATTAGTGTCAGTCATGCTGAAAACCAAAACTGAGTTCTAGACTGTGACATTAAAGAGTCTATTTAGGAAAAGATCCAGAATTTACTGACTGTAGAACGCTGGAATTAGTGAGATTTAATTCAGCATTATGGTAAGCTTGGGAGGAGCAGAACCTGGACTAGAAGGGCTGCAATAAGGCCGATAAGCTACTTCTGATAATGCGTAGAATAAGAACAAGGTGCTGAATTGGTGCCAGTCATGATGATAAACCAGCGCACAGTTCTACCTTAAGCAAATAATCCGTAACTGTTCTGCCACTGTTTGATCCAACAATGGCAGAACAGTTAAGGCGTTTAATTACTGAGAAAAGTTACTATATTAGCATAGTATACGTGAATTGGCTCAATGATTGCAGGTCTACCATAATCCTTAACTACCAACATAAACACTGGGAACTGCAAGCTAAAAATAAACGTCATAGTAGCATCCAGTGACAAAAAACTGACCTACATACTCCAAAACAAGCAAAACGTTCAAAAAACCTTTAAAATTCAATGGAAAACGAATTCACGAAAACATATAACCAGTAGACGCAGGAACCCATCATGACCTTGAAACTGACTATAGCGTCTTTCCTTTCATTGGCTGTAACAGTGGTGGCTAATTTGATATTTAATTTGTCCTTTGTTAGGTGATGTCGTGTGCAGGTTTGTGTGGTTGAGGTATGCGTTGTTTACAAGCATATTTGATGAAAATAAATGTAAAATTTGAGTATTCTAACGTTTTCTTTTACTTATTTTGTGCATGTACAAGGCTTGGTTTATCATACACTCGGTTTGTTGGCCTATCGGTTGCTGGCGATGTCAAGGAATCCGTGAGTTCTTTGGCTTTTCTCGATTTTAGGTTATACGTGTAGCATTTCATTGGTTGATATTGCTCAGTGATGCATTTCAATATTGGTTTTTCTACGGAATTATATTGAAACAGTCGCGAGACAGATGGATACTAATTGACAAAGCCTTTTTAGTTTATTGCAGGTAGGCAATGCGAGTGAGAGCATTATTTATCCTGTAATATTGTGTGCATAATTCTATTTTTGTTTACTCTTCCTGATTTTGTAGTTAATAATGTGCTGCATAAGTGTCAACGATGGACATGGTCTCGTGACTCGTGCGCATCTCAAAGCGGGAGAAGTAATCGCACAAATGGACCATTTTCTTAATATGTAAACAAACTAATGTCGTATTATAAATATGAACTTTTCATATAAATCTTGTCTTTCAATTCGTGTGTTTGCTTTGTGAGCATGGCATGCTAGACCGGTGCTCCCTAAGACTTGAACTCGTTACTATACTTAAGTGTAATTCTGTAGGAACACTATCGACCGATATACGTGGTGAATTATAAGTAGTTTATTAGACCTTAAGTCTCTGTCTACAGTTACGTGAAAACATCTCATAGTCATATGCAAGCCTGTAGGGAACAATGACAACAATAGGTAGAACTTAGGCACTTCATTGCAGTTCCAGGTCGTATATGGTTAGGTGTATTCCAAATCAGTGTATTACTAATATTCCAATTAAAGCATTATCGCAGTCCCTATGATAACGGGTGTTAATGTATACTGTAAAATAAAGTTTACACATGACGAATAAATAAGTAGGTTGAGCTGTAGCATTCGTAGTAACATTTCGCTTACGTTTAATTATGCAGTCAAATAAATCATCATGTATCATTGATAAGTCTGACATCTGCATCGTCATGCAAAAAAACTTAATTTCACTCAGATAGAATAAGAAAAGTATTGTAAGCAGGATGTTAAATCTATTACACGAAAAAATAAGCAAATGTCTTTACACAATTGTTTTTCGTAATTATTTCGCCCATGTTGAATTGCTGTGACCAAGTAGACTGACATTACCGGATATCTGTAAGTAAGTGAACAAAGTGTATGTTTTTAAATCGCTGAAATAAGGAAGAAATAATATTAAAGTTAAACGCTTTATATTTGCATACCTTTGCTGAAAAAGGTTCCTTTTCCTTTTTCATTCTTTCGTTATGACAGCATTCTTCTGTAGTTTTCAATGTCACACAGAGATTGTTCGTCTTATGCAGTACAGCAGTAAGCAAATAATAGTAATTCAGTATATTGTCTAAACGAATATTTACAAGGAATGCATGTAATTTCTACAGGCACAATAAGTTATATAATGAATTACAATCCTCAAGTATCATAAAATAATACTTTTTCAGAAGTTCAAGTCGTTCACCTAGTGTACGAGTAATTAGAACAGGTTATGATACGTGTTAACTTGTAAACCACTCACAATGAACGCTGTACAGGAAACTTCATCACATCTTGATTTTTACCTACTTTTCCTTCACGCACATAAGCATGCAGTCACTACATACACTCAAGCATTGTAACCTGAACATCACAAAATCCCTACAGATAACTTTTTTCATAATAAATGATTTAAACATATGAGGCATAAGTGAATCTTCCATATCCTTCATAGCCACAAGTAATTCATCAAGGATCTCAGAATATCTTAGTGATCTGAACACGAACAATTGTTAAGATTGGGATAACTTATGTAACAGGTGCAGTACTTGTAGGACACACCTGCTGGCTACTAATCGACAGAAAGTTGATACTAATTTTAAATAGTCTGACATTTCACGAGGACCATCTACACTATTCTCCGTGACCCGATGCGCACTGATATAAACATAATCTGATGCCATTTTTGACAGAGAACAATTAAGGCCTTCTGACATTCCAAGTGTAAATGTCAATTAAACTAGTATCATATCTTTGCCTAAGCAACTTTAAATGGGAACTTCATCAAAGTAGATATAATCACCAGGAAATGCAGCAGCCTGTCTCATTCATCGCATGATCTCTTCCATGTGCTATGGAATATTTCAGTCATCACAGATGATAAAAGAAGTGTCTAACATCCTCAAAACACACATCTAACTTATGTCTGTAGGCTATTTCTCTTTCAAATGCACGATTCTCATAGAATAACTGGGATGACAACAGCCATTGCCTGCAGTCAATTTACAACCTTAAGACCTGAAACAGCCCACAAAAACAATGCCTCAATGCTCTAAAACC